ATATGGACAATAAACTGAGGTTACTGGAGGGGTTGTGGGGGGGGTGGGCTAAATGGGTAAGGGCACTAAGGAATCTACTCCTGAAATCATTGTTGCACTATATTCTAACCCACTTGGATGTAAAATAAAAAAATAAAAAAACTTTGCTTAATCATTTTTATTTTGCGCAATCTCTACGTCCAATGTGGGGCTCAAACTCATGAGCTTTGAGATCAATAGTCACATATTCCGCTCGCTGAGCCAGCTAGGCACCCCTTCACTTCCAATCTCTTATTTTATTTCTTTTCCCAATCTTTTATTTATTTTTTTTTTAATTTTTTTTCAACGTTTATTTATTTTTTTGGGGACAGAGAGAGACAGAGCATGAACAGGGGAGGGGCAGAGAGAGAGGGAGACACAGAATCGGAAACAGGCTCCAGGCTCTGAGCCATCAGCCCAGAGCCCGACGCGGGGCTCGAACTCCCGGACCGCGAGATCGTGACCTGGCTGAAGTCGGACGCTTAACCGACTGCGCCACCCAGGCGCCCCTTTTCCCAATCTTTTAAATAAACCATGTCTCTGGGGCTTACATGGGTGGACTTTCAGTTATAGTTAAATCAGGTTTGGGGAGCATGTGATCAGCATATTTGTTAAGTAACTTATGAATTAAACCAGCCTCGAGTGAATAATTTAATAAAGTATTATAATCATCTAACATCAGGTCCACTGTAAGATGTAGTTTGCCGTATAACAACTCAAAAGGGCTGAGTCCTATAGATTGTTGTGGAGTAGTCCTCATTCTGAGAAGTTCTATTGAAAAAGTAACCTAATTTTCTTGTCTCTGGACTAAGTTTAGTAAGGTGTCATTTTAAAGTATGATTAATATGGGGCTCCTGGGTGGCCTAGTTGGTTGAGCATCCGACTCTTGGTTTCAGCTCAGGCCATGAACCCAGGGTCATGGGATAGAGCCCTGTGTTGGGCTCTGCACTGAGCATGGAGTCTGCCTAAGATTCTCTCTCTCCCTCTGCCCCTCTCCGCCACTGGCTCTTTTTCTCTTAAGAAAAAAAAAAAAAGTATGATCAGCTTTATCTACCTTCCTAGAGGATTATGTGGATGCCAGGCTGAGTGTAGAAAATATTTAACTTTTTTTTTTAGTGTTTATTCATTTTGAGAGAGAGAGAGAGAGAGAGAGAGAGAGAGAGAGAGAGCCAACGTGTGAGCAAGGGAGGGGCAGAAAGAGAGGGAGAGAGAAAAATCCCAAGCAGAGCCCAATGCAGGGCTTGATCTCGCTAACCATGAGATCATGACCTGGAGCTGAGATCAAGAGTTGTACTCTCATACAACTGAGCCACCTAGGTGCGCCAAGAAGAGGTCTTTTAAATCAAAGAACCGTAAACCAGTTAGCATCACCAGAGATATGGGTGAGAACAGTATATGGATTTGGCACTATGGGATGGATGGGTACAATTGCCTCGTTTATAAAGGCTCTTAAGTCTTGCACAGTTTGATAGTCCCCATTTGTCTTTTTTTACTGGTAAAATTGGAATATTATAAGGACATTGACAAGGCCTTAAAATACCATGTTTGAGAAACTTATCAATAAACAGTTGTAAGCTTTATTTTACCCAGGCGCCCCCTTTAAGGTCACTTTAACTGGTTGGGCTTTAAGAGCCTGTCCTGGGACACTGCAAACCCAGACCTGTGGATTTACTTCCTTCCACATATTAGAAGGGATATCAGGGTAAGGTTTGAATTCTCCAGATGTTAATAAGCCATCTTCCTAAGAACAAACCTGCTCCCTAGCATATACATTAAGTCTCATCCAAGTAATGGAGTGGGACAAGACAGAAGGAAGAAAAAAACATGACTAACAACTGACTTTTGTATTTACAGGTTAAAGGCATTGTCTGACAGTATGTTTTTGTTTCCCTCTCTATGCCAACAATTTTGTGGTTAGAAAGACAAGGCCGAGTGCTGAATAAGAACAGAGTAAGCGGCTCGTGTATCAATAAGGAAATTGATAAACTTACCTTCCACACCCTGGGCAACCCAGGGCTCAGTCATCTGAGCAGCCTTGGGGCCCTGTCAGGCCAGATCCTCTGGTTCCTGCTCTCTGATGGGAAGTGAGTTGCTGCCTCTCTCTCTCTGGAAATGAGAACAGTCTCTCTTCCCATGTCCTTCTTTCTCACAGACAGGACATGGCCCCAGTGGAGAATGTTTGTTTGGATATTCCTTGCTGCAATGTCCCATCTGGCCACACCTATATATAGCATGAGGTCTTACCTGGTCCTTTCTCTGATACCGGCTTTTTCTTTGGCTCCTGGTTAGTCTGGCACTGGGGTGAATCCACAGCAGTGGTAGCCACTATTTAGGCCTGTATTTTACCCTGCAGTTTAGTTTTCTGGTCCTTTTCCTGTCTTAAAACCTTATCTCTAACGGGTGCCTGAGTGGCTCGGATTTCAGCTCAGATCGTGATCTCATAGTCATGAGATCAAGCCTTGTGTTGGGCTCATGCTGAGAGGGGTGCTTCCTTCAGATTCTCTATTTCCCTCTCTTCCTCTCTCTCAAAATAAAGAAATAAACATTAAAAAACACATGACCTTATCTCTATTTTGAAAAATTCAGTGGGGTGACGCGGCGCCTAGGTGGCTCAGTTAGTTAAGAGTCATACTTCAGCTCAGGTAATGATCTCACAGTTTGTGAGTTTGAGCCC